GGTAATGCAGCCTGTCCACCAGTGAGGGCTGGTTATGGAACCCAAAGAACCATTGGGGTGATTGTCTGGGGGGAGTGTGAGCCCCAGGGTATGTGACAATCTGAGGGCGAGACCGCCTCCCAACAGTAACAGGTCACACCTGGACATGAGGTCATCTGAGGTCCGGAGCAATGAGTGAGCTCCCCAAGATTTGCCGGAGGCCCCCTGTCTAACACTGCGCATGGCATGCAGCAGGCACTCAACAATGTTTGTGGAGTGAGAGTGCGTAGAGCAGTGTGTGAGCCCTCTGTGTGTGCAAGGGGGTTGGAAGTGGTGGCCCAAATCAGTGGCCGGATGGTCATACATGCACCTACGCCCCGTCTGACCTTCTAGCCACCCCCAGGAAGGGCCTGTGCCCAGGGACAATGAAGGGGCCTCTGGAGACTTCACTGCAGCCCCAGACACTGGCAGGTGGGACAGAGGGACAGGGAGGCTCAGGCCTCACAGCCTCAGTGATGGGCTCAGTTCAGCTCCCTGCACAGGACAGAGCAAGGCCTGCTCCTGGGGCCTGGCAGCTTCCAGTCAGGGTGGCCTTTGCACAGTACCTCCAGCCTCAACTCGCAAGAGCTTGACCATAGCCTTCGCCCAAACTCCCCTGCATACAACTTCAGTTCCTGGAGAGAAGGGGGAGGGCGGGGGGCAGGGGTGGGAAATGGGACCATATTCCGGTAGCTAGTGGTGGGATTTCAGGGAGGGGAGTGTGATGGGTGGGCCATGTGGGTGAAAGGGCTGAGAAGGAGCACTGTACCCTTGTCTCCCCCTCACCCCCGCCCAGTGCCCCAGCCCCAGGCACAGAGTCCAGGCTAGGGACTGAGGCTGGGGAGGGGGTCCAGGCCAGGCTCGCAGCCCACAGGCAGGGTGGCCACTTCACTGGGCGGGATGTGGTGGGTCATGTAGCGCTTGCCCATGAAGGAGCCAATCCGAAGCTGCTCAGGGACCTCCTCAGGCCACCACAGGCTGGAGCTGGACAGGGAGAGGAGGAGCAGCGGTGTCACTGCTGGGTGAGGCTGGCTGCCACTTCAGGGCCTCCTCCCCACTCCCACATCCCTCCTCCTGCTGCCTCTGATCTCCCTGCCCTCCCTTCTAGAACAAGCTGGAGGCCTGCCTCCTCCAGGTGGCCACCCTGATTACCCCAGTGTCAGTTCACTGAGAAACCAAGGCCCAGGAGGACAAGGGCCAAAGCAAAGGACACACTGATGGACAGGGACAGAGCCAGGTGGCCCCTTCTCTGAACCTGTGGTTAGAAGAGCTGCTGGACCACCTCTCTGACCGCCCAGGGGAGAGACTCAGGTGGGAATTCTCTGCACAGCCCTTCCAGGGAGACTTCCCAGCTCAAAACCACAGGGTCAGGGAGGTTTTCCAGGCTCAGGGGGCAGGGGCAGGGGAGGGGTTCCAGGTAGGAAGGGGCCCTGGGAGTGTCACCACTCACAAGCGCACAGTGGAGGCAGCCAGGAAGGCCAGGAGCAGGAGGCCGGCCAGAGAAGAGAGGATGGAGGTGATAACAATCATGTCTCCACTCCGCCGCCCCGGCCATGTGTCGATGGAGCCTGGAGACTTCCCTGCACACACAGCGATGCTCAGAGGCTGCCCTCGGACCCCAGGGCAGTCACCCTCACCCCTGCTCATACCACGGCTGGGCTCTCTCCTCCAAGGACATCTGTCCATCTCAGAGGGCATCTGTGCCCTGTAGCCTGGACCACCCATCGCTCCAGCCTCCACCCTAGCCTCACCTTCTAGGCTGTTCCCACCAATGTGCCCGCCCCTGGCACGCCCAGCAGCGGCAGACCTGAAGACTGACCGTGTGGCTGCCCTGCTCCCTGGAGCCTGGCATACAACAAGCGCCCGCCCCATCCCCGGCTCCTGCAGCCCATCTCCCAGGCATCGCGCACACCGGACATCTGGTCTTCACACAAGCAGTGTCCTCGGCCTGGTGACTCATGCTGGCTTCCTGGGGCCCTGCTGAGGGAAGCCTCCCAGACCCGTGGCCCTGACGGACTGCCCTCCTCGCTTTGGCCCTTCTTCTCACCCAGCAATGCTGGGCCCGGGCTGGCTCCCATAGGAGGGGAAGGCTGCTGCTGCCCATGACTGAGCTGGGGCCTGGGCACCCAAGAGTGGCAAACACGTGGGGCTGGACAGAGCCGGTGCCTCACCCCCAGCACCGGTGTCTGTGTGGAGGGTTCGCCGGATTTGAACACTGCCACCGGGCACCCAGTCCCACGGCAGCGGGAGGTGGAGGGGGCAGCTGAGCACGACCATTTCACCGAGTGTAAGGGACAGACTGGAGCCAGGACACCCCCTCCCCAGCGTACCTTGGTGGAGAGTGATGGGGCCAGACCACCTGGTCTCGGCCTGGGGTGAGCCCCCAGCGTCCATCAGGAGGAACTTCACCCTGGGGAGAGGAGGAGGGGTGAGGCTCAGAGCCTCAACTGCCCTAGGCCGGGCGCCCAACACAGCCAGACTCAAGGCAGCTCTTCTGGGCCAGGCTGTGAGCCTTGGCTCTGCGGGGAGTACGGGCTGGGGCTATAGGCCTCCCAGGGGAGAAGTGCTGGCCCATGGAGTCTCTGAAGCCATGGAAGCCCCCCCAATAGGGGCAAGCACCCCAGATAAAGGCCTAGAGAGGGAGGGGTGTGTTGAGGGTGCACGCAGAGTCCAGGATCACAGAGAAGGGCAGCTGGCACTGAGGGCACCAAGGCCGTGCAGAGGAGGTCGTGTCTTTGAGGGGCTGGGGAACTCTGGGAGGTTTCTAAGCATCAAGAGGCTTGGGCAGCCCAGCCAGTGTGGCTCAGTGGTTGAGTATCGGCCTATGAACCAGGAGGTCATGGTTCGATTCCCAGTCAAGGTACATGCCCAGGTTTCAGGCTCAATCCCCAGTAGGGGGTGTGCAGGAGGCAGCCTATCAATGATTCTCATCATTGATGTTTCTAGCCTTCTCTCCTTCTCCCTTTCTCTCTCTGAAATCAATAAAAACATTTTTAAAAAGAGACTCAGACAGGCTGGCACTGAGGGAAGCTGGCTCTGGTGGCTGCCAGGGATGGAGGCCAAGCCAGGGAGTGGGCCTGGGTGGGGGAGGTGGACCTGGCAGGGCTGGGTGAGAGGGCAGAGGGAGGCGGATGGAGATGCTGGCCCAGCGCACAGCAACCACCTTCCCTGCCCCCCTGCGAACGGTTCTCCCAGTTGGACTTGGCCTCCCTGAGGACACCTGGCCTCATCCTGTGGCCCGGGGAGCCCACGTCTGGACACCTGCTTTGCTACCCCGGCTCTAACCTGACCTTGGCAAGCCACTGGGCACTTCTGTGCCTCTTCCTTTGCTTCCCCAGCTCATACCCACTGACGGGGCCTGAACTCGGCCCTGTGCTTACTCTCCCACCAGATCTATCCAGGGGAGAAACAGTGGGCCCAGGAGTGCAGCCCTGCCACCCCACCCTACCCCACCCCACCCCACCAGCTCTGGTGCCACACTGGGTCTGAACTCAGCCCTGTGCTTACTCTCCCACCAGATCTACCCAGGGGAGAAACAGTGGGCCCGGGAGTGCAGCCCTGCCACCCCACCCCACCCCACCCCACCAGCTCTGGTGCCACATCTTCCCCCTGGGCCCACCCGGAAGCTGGAATTCTGCCTGCCCCAGCTGTGATGAGTGCTGCTCTCCCCCACCCCTCCACCCCAACCCCCGAGGAAGAAGCCAAGGTTTGTGAATAGAAAGGGCCTGCGAGGCCTGCAGCCAGGATGGGGCCTGGGGAAAGGCCAGGGAGGGCAACCCTGGTCCCCGAAACCTCTCCTCTCCCAGGCCCCACCCCAGGCTCCAGGCAGAGAGACCCACCTGTAAGGCCCGGGGCCAGGGAGGGGGGTGTTGCAGTAGGACGGCTGGTCCCGAGGAAGAAGCCAAGGTTTGTGAATGGAAAGGGCCTGCGAGGCCTGTAGCCAGGATGGGGCCTGGGGAAAGGCCAGGGAGGGCAACCCTGGTCCCCGAAACCTCTCCTCTCCCAGGCCCCACCCCAGGCTCCAGGCAGAGAGACCCACCTGTAAGGCCCGGGGCCAGGGAGGGGGGTGTTGCAGTAGGACGGCTGGTGGAGGTCAGCCAGGCAGCCAGGGTCATTGCCCACCCGCAGCACAGGGATGTCACCCACGGGATCCTCGCAGGGCAGCTGGTCCAGGGACAGGGGCAGCGTCATGTAGTGGCCGTCGGTCAGCAGCTGTGGGAAAGCGGGGATCTCAGCCAGTGTCTTGGGGTTCTGGAAGTCCCTGGAGGCTGTGGAAGGGAGGGACAGACCGATGGGGCTGGTCAGCGAGTGAAGCCAGGCCTTCCTCGCCACAATCCCTGGCTGGGTCCAAGGCCTACAGCCCTGGCCCTTCAGCACCCAGAGGGCCCCTGTGACACAAAGCAGGGCTTGTCACCCTCTCAGAGGCCCCTCTCCATACAGCCCAGCTCCCAATCCACACCCAGTTGTGGAACATCACAGTGAGGGGCTCCCAGACCCGCAGCTTTCCTCAGCCCCACCGCTCACCCCAGGCCCACACCTGCACTGGGACGCACCGTTGCTAAAGGCCACCACCAGCCAGACCGTGTCGGCAGCCCTGGCATGACCGTCCAGCACACAGCGCGGCTGCTCCAGGGAGAACGTGGTGGCCGTCACCTTCCCTTCCAGGTCCCCGGGTGTTATCTGCGGCGTGTAGGGGATCAGCTCTGTGGCCATGGAGAGAGGTGTGAGGGTCCTGGGGCGCCCTGCCCTGGGGCTGCCTCTCCCAGTTAGAGGATGTGGGCTCCCAGGGTCCAATCACACCAGCAGGTGCCCCAGCCCCTTGGGTCTGAGTGAGGGTCCTGGGGCTGCCTCTCCCAGTTAGAGGATGTGGGCTCCCAGGGTCCAATCACACAGCAGGTGCCCCAGCCCCTTGGGTCTGGGCAGGTGCACCCAATCCCTGGACCCCCACTCACCGAGGCTCGTGCAGGGCTGGGGCCAGACCAGCGCCACCAAGAGGCACAGCAGCCGTGAGTGAGGCTGCCTCTGGGGGAGCCCCATGACCGCCACCTTCTACCACAGCCACAGCCTGGGGCTGGGCTGGCTGCCGCCTGCCGCGCCCCTCCCCCAACACCTAGGCCTGGAGAAGCTGGTTAGTCAGGCTGCCAGGCTGGTCAAGGGCTGGAAAGACCTGAAAATATGAACGCACCCAGCCCCTCCCCTCAGCCCAGTCCCCCACAGGGAGGGGCCTGGGCAGGGCACTAGTGTGGGGCAGGCCAGGGCTGAGGGAGAGGCCACTGGAGCTCAGAGCCCCATGTCTGCATTTAGGCCCCACCCAGCCTCCCAACCCTGGGGAGGAACACCAATCTCTGGAACCTTGGGCTCAGGGCCACATGCCTGAGATTCCTGCACCCCAGGTACCAGGAGACAACCTCTGTCCTTCCATCCCCACCCAGGAGCAAGCCTGGGGCAGCTCCAACCTGTCCAGCTCCAACCTCATCACAGCCCGCCTGGCCCTGCAGCCATCTTGTGCCGCGCCCTCCCTCCTGGGGCCACATCCTTCCTGGTTCTTCAGTTCCCTTGTCCGAGGGAAGAACTTAGAGAAAGGTGTGTAGAGCCCTTGACAGCTGACAAGCCCCCACTTACATTATTCCCTTTGGTTCTCACTACATACATGGGTGGGGCAAAAGTAGGTTTACAGTTGTTCATCAATAGTTAATACAAGAATAAACTGCTTTGCTCACTCACAACTGTAAATATATAAACCATATCTATTTTTTTACTAATATATAATCCATCCTATATAATAAATAGGTAATATGCAAATTGACCCTCATTCCGCCATGCCATCACAAGACGGCTGCGCCCACAGTGAAGGCAGGGTTCTCGTAATGAGCCTTAAGGAGCGATCAGCAGGGACCTGAGGCTGTGCCCCTGGCCCAGCGGGGCTTGAAGGGTGACTTCAGGCCACATCCCCTGCCCGGCGGGGTTTGACGGGAGACCTGGCCACGCCCCCAGACCAGCGGGGCTTGACGGGGAACCTCAGGCTGCACCTCCCGCCCCAGTGCTGGGCCGGGGGACCTGAGGCTGTGCCCCCCGCCTGGTACCAGGCCAGGGGATCTGAGGGTGCACCCCCTGCCCAGCAGGGCTTGATGGGGAACCTCAGGCTGCACCCCCTGCCTGGCACTGGGCCAGGGGACCTGAGGCTGCACCCCTGCCCGGCGGGACTTGATGGGGGTGGGGCTGGCCGGGTCTGGGTCTTGTGCAATTTTGAGGTGCACGTGGGTGGGCAGGGACTTGACTCTGGTGCATGGTGTGCCCCAGTGTGGTGTGCCCCAGACTCTGACAGGAGGAAGATTTTCTTTTCTTTCATCTCTGACACTTCTATTATAAAGAAAGGGCAAATAGCAATATTAAAATATTTCCTCTAATTAATTCCCCTTTAATGTGCATGAATTTTGTGTACTGGGCGGCTAGTACATTATAAAATTCACCCTTTTAAAGTGCACAGCTAACTGGCTTTTAGTATATTAACAAGGTTGTGCAATCAACATTAATTCCAGAAATTTTTCATTTCAAGAAGAAACACAGTACCCATGAAAAGTCACTCCCCCGCCCTCCCCTCGGGGAACCACTCCCACTTTCTGTCTGGATTTGCCTATTCCGGACATTTCACATAATGAAATCACACAGGATGCGGCCTCTCATGTCTGGCTTTCACTTGGTATCATGTTTTCAAGGTTCATCCATGCTGCCGTAGGTCAGTCCTTCATTTTTATGGCTAAGGATCATTCCACGGTATGGACAGACCACATTTAGTTTAGCCATTCATCAGCTGAGCAGTTGGGTTTCCCCCACCTTTTGGCTGTTATGAATAATGCTGCTAGGAACACTCGTGAACAAGCTTTGGTTTGGACATGTTTTCAGTGCTTGGATGTGAACCTAGGAGCGGGATGGCTGAGTCATATGGCAACCACTTTCTGAGGAACTGCCCAACCGTTCGCCAAAGCAACTGCATTTCACATCCACCAGCAGCAAAGGGCTCCGGTTTCTCCACGTCCTCACCAACATTTGCTGTTTTCCCTTTTCTTTGTAATAACCATTCTCATTGGGCATGACATGGTATCCCTTTGTGGTTTTGTTTCCCTGATGACACTGAACATTTTTCATGTGCCTGTCAGCCATCTGCATATCTTCTTTGGAGAAAAGTCCTTGGCTTTTTTTTTCTTTTTAAAAAAGGGTATTTTTCTTCTTGTTGAGTTCCTTATACAGTCTGGGTACTAGACCCTTATCAGATAGATGATTTGCAAACATGTTCTCCCATTCGGATTCTCATTATACTTTAATGGTGGGAGTCAAGAGGGCAGCGGCACGCAGGTGCCCACCCAGCTCCCGAGCCCTGTGAGCCTGTGGAGTGGGTCTCACTGTGGAACTAAACAGGTTGGGGGGCAGCCAGGCCTCCCTGCCCTCCCTAGGACCAGCTCCCCATTAGGCTCATGGGCAGTGCCCAGGGCCCACAATACATTCAGGGGCCCAGGAAAAGTCCTAGTTTCTTTTAAAATCAGAAGGGAACAAAATAAACTTCTAAATGGAAGAAAATGCTCAAACATATTTTCATCTTTATATCAACACATCATAAAACAGAATTTAACTTTTCTTCTTTTTTTAAACACATTTTTATTGATTTCAGAGAGAAAGGGAGAGGGAGAGATAGAAACATCAATGATGACAGAGAATCATTGATTGGCTGCCTCCTGCACACCCCACACTGGGGATCGAGCCCACAATCCAGGCATGTGCCCCGACTGGGAATAGGTTCAAGGTTGATGCTCAACCATTGAGCCATGCCAGTCGGGCACAATTTTTCTTCTTCTTTTAATCCTCACCCAAGGATACGGTTTTATTGATTTTAGAGGGAGAAACCCACAACCTAAGTAAGTCCCTCGACTGGGAATCAAACCCACAAGATTTTGGTGTATAGGACGACACTCCACCTGGCCAAGGCTAACATTTTTCTTATAAAGGAAGGATCCACAAAGGCAAAATTGGCCCTGGCCCAAGTGCGGCTGTGTGCGCCTCCAGGCTCAGGCCACAAGCACTCCATCCCACCCCCGGCAGACAGCGAGTCTGAGAGTATTTGATCCTCTTTCTGAGAGGGTTCAGAAGGATTGACTTTGAGGATGATATCAGACCAATCCTGTCCCGGATTCCAGCTCTGGCTCTACCACTAGCTGGGACCTTGGGCCAGTCACTATATCCTTGAACCTCAGTTTCACCATCTGTAAAATGGAGACAGCAGCACCTGCCTCCTGTGAGCAGTGCTCCCCAGAACTTGGGGAGGTAACAGGATGGTGGGCTCAGAGTTGCTGGACTCCACAGTGCAAGGACCAGAGTGGGGGTTGGGGAAGCAGCACAGGTCAGTGCATGGGCTCTCTGGCTCACTGCAGCCTGTTCCTTCATTTAGGAAATGGGAGCTGCATGGGCAGCCCATAAGGTCCTTTCCAGCAGGACACGTGTGCGCGGGCCTTCATACATCTCGTATGCACATGCACGCGTGCGCACGTATACACACACATCGTCTCCACTGACAAACACACTAGGGCCTGCTGACTTTGGCTATTGGACATTTATTGCAAACAGAACATCTGAGGTATGAGAAGCTGACCCAGACCCATGCCTGCCCCTGGCTAGGGGTGGGGCAGTCTCTCCTCAGCCCATGCCAGGCCCCCAGCACTGAGGTAGCTGCATCTTAAGCCCCCACAAGTACAACTCCCCAGGCTTGCAGATTCCCATGCAAATCCAGGCCTGGAGGGGAAGAGGAAGGAGGAAAGGCAAACAGGAGAGGCCCCAGCTTCAGTGGAAAATGCCCACCCCCCCGATAAACATGCCAGCTCCTGCGGAAAGCACCTTCCTGCCGGTCCATCTCAAGAGCAGCCCAGCCGGCAGTGGGGATGGGCGGCTGGCTGCCAGCTGGTGGTCACTGCTGCTCCAGGCAGTCCTCGGTCACTCCCTGGGCAGCCAGCTCAGCCAGCACATTCTGCAGGTAGTTGGGGTCGGGGTAGCCATGGCCCGTCACGTTGCGGTCCATCTCTGTCTTGTGATGGATCTCGTTCCACACCACCGTGTCCGTCTCGCCTGTGGTGCTGGACGTCCCCACCGTGAAGATAAGTCGCCTCTTCCAGGCCACCTTCAGCAGCTCTAGGACCTGCCCCAGGAGGAGGAGGAAGAGAAGGAAGAGGAAGTGAGGGGGAAGGAAGGGTGAATAAGCGCTGGCCTTCACAGGTTTTTCCACCCTGGGGAAGAGTTTGCCAGGAGACAGGTGGGAGCACCCACTGCCCTCCCCTAATTTGCCCCAGTAGTAAGGATGAGGTCAGCAGCACCAGCCACCCACCAATGTCAGCTGTGGGCTGTGTCGGTGCTGCATGCTAGGACCCTGGTTCATTCAACATGTGCCATTAACCACCAGCAGGGTCCCTGGGAGCTGGGCCCTTTCTCCTCTCCATTCTGTTCTGTTGCCACCTTAAGTGGTGTCATCCACAGTCCCAGATGAAATCCCATCTGCGGGGGTCCCCAGCTTTTAGCGCTAACCCTGACCCCTCTGGAATGCCAACTGCTGTTCTGACAGCCCAATGGACCTCACACTGAGCACTTCCATGACTCAAGTCTTGGCCCTCCCACCTCAGACAGTGCTGCCATTTCCTCAGCCCGACACCTGATTAGTCCCTACTTCCAAGTACATCCTGGATGAGCTTCCTTCTGTCCCTCCTCATCGAGTCCAGGCTCCCTGCTCTCTCCCGTTCCTGCTGCTCTCCACACACAGCCACCTGGAGTCCATCCTCTCACAGCAGCAGAGACAGCTTTCTCAAACCTAAAATCTGCAGCTTCTACAGCTCTTCTGACACACCCTCACCTCATGGCATCATGCAGTGCTTAGAGCCCCAGTCCCACAGGCCAGCAACCACCTTCACTCCTTGTGCACCTCACTCCCCCTCACCCACTTGGTCCTCCTTCAGGCTCCTCACATCTGCCCAGCCTGTTCCCATCTCAAAGCTGTCACACTAGCTGTTCTGTCTCCCACAGGCAAGGAAAGTCCTACCTCGGGTATCAGTGCAGAGGCACAACCTGGCCCACTAGGCTGCTCGAAGACAGTCTCTCCTCCCCACGCCCCAGGAAAGTACGACCCGGTACTCCCGGCACC